AAATATCGGACGCTTGGAGGACCCTCTGAACTACTGCCAGACACAAAAATATGTGTATCCAAACCTGTATATACTTGCAGTCACTTTTTTTGTGCACACCTGCTTCCTCAGTCCCATGTGAAAGGGTATTTTCAAAGGCAGGAGAAGTTGTATCAAAGAAAAGAAATTGCCTAAGCCCGAAAACTGTCGAAAAAATATTGTTTTGNGGACCCTCTGAACTACTGCCAGACACAAAAATATGTGTATCCAAACCTGTATAAACTTGCAATCACTTTTTTTTGTGCACACCTGCTTCCTCAGTCCCGTGTGAAAGGGTATTTTCAAAGGCAGGAGAAGTTGTATCAAAGAAAAGAAATCGCCTAAGCCCGAAAACTGAAAAACAATAAAATCGTTCCATGTATCACAAGCACATTCACTGCCCTCTGGCAAGTTAAACCCTTCTTCTTTTCCAGTTTTCGAACATATATTCCTTCCTTTGTCTTTATAGAAGGCAGCAGACATTTACGTATGTATAGATATAACAAGATACTATATTGATACATTGTTTTTATTATATACAATCATTTTAAGACACTTACTGGTGCAAAATTCTGTTCATACAAATATATTTTACATCTTTTACACTTTTGTATAATTATTTCCAGTATTTTTAGTATGTCAAAGATTACAAATAATATGTGGCTGTTTTACACCTGTTCACCAACAGGAGGTCTTGTGTGCACATGAAGCCCATGATGAAGCCTCATGAGATGAACCTTTTAGTGAACCGATTTGCTTCAAAGCTTCATCTCGCCATCACTAGACAACAGTAAACCAAAACACTACAAGTTGCACGTCCCGCATAGACAACAAAATACTACACTGCTGCACAGAACACCCATACAGCTCGCAGGAGAAGGAAGAGAGAGACTGAAGCCTTCCTCAGCCTTTTGTGCAGGCCCTAATTGGGGATTGGGAGCACCTGAGGGAGAGGATGCACCTGAGGGAGAGGATGCACCTGAGGGAGACAATCAGGGAGAGAGGGGGGAGAGACACACACAATTAAAGTGAGAAAAAGCCAGTCTGAACAAATTAGTTTTAAGGCTTGATTTAAAATGACACAGTGTCAGACTGTCTGACTATATCATGTTATTTTATTTTTTTGTATTCGTGGTTATAAAGTACTGAACAACAGAGAATGTTTTATGAAATAGGATTTTACTGACAAATGACATCTCATCATTTGATTATCTATTCTGCAGGAAGGAGGAATAATAACAGAGTAGGCCTACACTTAAAAACGTAAACAAACAAAAAATCCGGTACGGAAAAAAATGCGCCTCCTGGCATATGCACAATCATTTTTCAGCCGTTTGGTGTTTATTCTGATGGGAAATATATAATTCAATAGAGAGAAAGTAAATCATTTCTGTGGTTCTTCTGCTCAGAAAACTAGACGAAATGCCCAATAACTGAAATGACGTCCCCCATGCGTTTCAATCTACAGCACAACACCGGTGTTCATCTGCAGAGGGCGCCCTGCAGCCTCTCATCCCACCGGAGGACAGAACAGACATGTGATATTTAACCGGATGTAAATAAACTGCCTTCCCGCGCAGTTAAATCGGCTCAACAACGCATCCACATCCACAGATAATCTGACAAAATGGACGAGCTTTATTTGGATAACATCGACGAATATGTCAATGACCAGGATAAGATAGTGAGTGTACTCTTTATTTCATCACATTTCTTCTTTTCTTAACATTAATGCCAACGTAAGAACCGAGTTAACCTCGATATGGGCAGCCGCTGAACTGCATTAAAAAACGGCTCGTTTACGGTTTGTTTTGCTTTTAGGCTTGGTATTTATTAATCATGGCGTTTCATACAACGTGGAACGATTTATTAAGGGGCTTTGGTTAATTCGGCTTATATATAGTTTTGGAAAATATCGCTTGGATTGATCAAAACGTACATTTTTAAAACTAGTGTCAGTTCAATGTTGTTACATGTGTCCGCCAATGGCTGTTTTTTTTTTAAATGTAACGAACCCTGTTATTTCAAAATACAGCCGTTAAGTTAGTTGAAAAGATGTTAGCATAAAGACTATTCAGGCTGCAAAATCAACCGTTTTTGTCTGCCAGCCAATTAATAGTGAACGTTCAAATTTTACCTTGGAAGAATTATTAAACGTATAAACTGTTTGTTGTCTTTCTATCGAGTGAGTGACTTGCCACTTCCACATTTGGCCATCACTAGCTGGTAAATGCTGCAGTTAGTCCATTTAAACGTTAACCGCCGTTGTTTCAACAACAGTTGAAGAAAATGAAATTTGACTCGGGGACAGTTTCATCCCACAGGCCGAGCGTTAAACACCTGACCTTTTGAAAGAACATCCATAACATTCATCTGTTTGCAACGTACAAGTTATTTATCTAATATATTTTGCTTGTATATAGACTCTCCTTGCACTATTCTTTTTTATTTTTGTTTATGGCCTACTTGCACTATTTTATTTGTTTGATTTGTTCTATGTCCTATATATATGTTGCACTGTTGGAGGAGCCTGTGACCTAAGTTTTGCATTGACATATCTACACTATAGCTAATGTACAAATGACAATAAAGCCTTGAATCTTGAAATGGTAAATAATCATAGTTGTTTTTCTCTTAGGTGTCTCGTTCATGTGCCAAGTGAATCTTAACACTAATGTTGCATTGTTTTGTTTTGTTCATCAGGTGACCTATAAATGGCTGAGCCTCACTCTGGGAGTCCATGTCAACACAGCCAAACAGTGAGGGGTCATTCTCTTTTGTGTTGGAATAAAATGAGCAGAAATAGGGACAAGTCTTGATGGTCATACATTTGATTGTTAAACACAAGATATTTCTATGTATACTTGGTCATTGGAAACACAGTCACAGCCTCATAATGGAACCAGTAGCAACTCATTATTTGACTGTTTTTAATGCTACTTCCTGAGTACCTACCATGGACGACGTTACATGTTTTACTATGAAATAAACTATGCAGACTTCTTAAATAAACCTATGTTGAGTTCAAAGAAAACTAAATCCCCACCAAGCTTCCCAGGTTTTGACTTCCGGGTAGGTGATGACAAAAATAAATTGTTTAATGTCAAGAAAGAAGCGCAAGGTTCAATATCAGTGTTAATAATTACCCAGACATTTGTAAGGCAAGGCAAGTTTATTTATATAGCGCCTTTCAACACAAGACATTAAGAAAATGGCATTTAAAAACAGTCATTCAAAAGCAAAGATAATAAAAGAAACATTAAAAGAAAAAATACATGAATAAAAGTTAAAGTGCAGTTAAGATATGAATAGTTCGATTAAAAGCAGCGGCAAAAAGAAAAGTCTTCAGCCACAATAGCTGTACAATAACTATGCAAAATGTGTCTTTTTAAAATAAAATATTGTAAATAATAAATTTTTAATAACCCCTGAGATGCATTTAGCTCAGTCCCCGAACAATATTATTAATATTAAGTACAATACTAATTTACCAACAATTAAAGTATGTGTCTTGTTTTCAGAATGCTCTTCCATTATTTGGATCACAAGAGGAAGGAGAGTTCGGCTCAGCTCCATGCCACCTACCTCGTGTCAGGAAAGTGTGTGGAGAACGGCCAAGCGGTGAGAAAAACTATAAATAAACAAAAATATGATTTGCATATTTCTGGCTTTTTCAAAATGTCAGAATTGTTTTATTAAGTGTTGCTGCTGTTTTGTTTCCTTGCAGAGTCACAAGGTGTCTGTTATAAAAGAGGACAAGTTGGAAGGTGCCAAAAAAACTTTCCTATTCTTTTTTTTTTTTAAATGATCGTTCAGTGTGTTGGTTTATTTATGGAGATATCTAATGAAGAAGAGGCTAGGAGTCTAACCTCGGGTGTGATTTTTTTTTTTTGCAGACTTCAAATCCAAGATGAGCTTGATAGTCAGTGTCCACGTCTACAGTGTGCAGAAAGCTTTGCTGAAAGACAGCGGTCCGCTCTACAGCGTGGACTATGATGCCGTGAAGGACAATATGAAAAACTGCAGCAAGTATGGTTCATTTCATATTTCCCTGTTATAAAAATTAGAGCAATCGGGGTCTTTAGAGTAATGCATTTCGTTCCTGTCTTATTCTATTTCAGATTTTTCATTTGTACTCTTTTTGCTTTTTAATAACTGCATTTCAATGTCATTTGATGTGCTTCTGTTGCATTATGTTTAAATGCTTTTAATGTTTTTTGTAAAGCACTTTGAATTGCCCTGTGTTATGACCTGGCTCAAAAGGCCACAACAAAGAGGAGACACGCCATATCAACAGTTAATAAGATATGTTTATTTAAGCAAGTAATTCAAATTAACAAATGTAATGAAGTTCAAAGTAAGGAAAGCATGATGTGTGGACGTCAGTGGTATCAGTAGTGTACATGCAGGGTGAAGGTTGCATGGACGTGTATGTGTGAGAGTGTTGAGGGGCACAAAGTAAAGCAACTGAAGTAACAAACAGCATACTCAACAAAACCGGGTGCCTGTAGGGAACAGCAGAGAGAGACAGAGAGGAGCAGAGGCTTTAAATAGCTGCAGGGCACCAGACCCAGGTACCCTCTCCAGGTGAACCCACAGGGGCATCACACCCTGTTTTACGGTATATTAAATGTTCCTTGTGTTACACAAATAGGAAAAAGCTATTTTATAATTAGCCTGCAGAGAGCTTTGTTTTAATGCGAGGTACTCATAAAAACAGTACAAAATATATATACTGTATATATTCCATTCTACCTTTTTGAACATCCACCTCCTCCAAGTAATTTCTACTTCAATGCCTAATGTAGTTTAGTGAAGTGGTAGCTAGTGAATAAACGAACCCAGCCGCAATCCATTGTTTAAAAAAGAGACACATCTGTTTAATCGTACCAGTCTTTAGGAACGTTCTGCATTGTTCCTACCTTCTTCCTTCTGCCTGCAGGTACAGTGCGATCCGCTGTGCCGGGGCAGTGCCCGTGTCCTCTGTGGAGCAGACGAGAGAAATCAGGAGAGCTCCTTCCCCAGAGCCTGAGAGCAAAAAGTCTGGCATGAACGGGAGTGCTCATCAGGCATCGAAGCCTTCCACCAAGCCACAGAAAGGCATCATGGGAATGTTTGCGAGTAAGACTTCTTCTAAGAACCAGGATAACGGCAAAGAGGTTAAGTCTGAGCAGAAGGAGGAAGCACCTGTGGTACGTTTGATAGATCCTTGGATGATTCATTTACAAATACAAAATGTAATCCAAATAAAACACAATTACAGTGAAATAAATACAGATTGGTGAAAAAGAGAAATAAACGTAAGAGTTGCCACTAGAGGCAGGGGCTCAGTCAGTAGGGGCTTGGACTGTGAGCCGTAGGGTCGCCGGTTCAAGTCCCCGAACAGACCAAAATATGAAGTGTGGTGACCATCTACAGCAAACCTTTCTGTTTTCAGATGTAGTCCAGCTGTGATTTCTTTCCACGATGTCAACATCTTTGACCCTGTCTCTCCACTGCAACTTACTGGTGTGTGTTGCTATTTTAGGATGATGCCCCCAAAAGCAAGCCAGCTGTAAAAGCCAATCCTATGATGAACTTCTTTGGGAGCCAAGTAGCAAGTGAGTATTACCTTCACCTTTTCATAGTTTTCAAAACCTTAGTGCAATGTTTTTCTCGCTACTCTAATATTATTCTGTTTCCGTAAAAAGAATCCAACAAATGAAAAGATCATTTGTTGGATTCAAGATGTATGGATGTAATTTGAGGCAACATCTTTTGCAGACAGACGTAAACATCAGCATTTTATTTCACAAAAAGTAAAAATCCAAACATGATCTAAAAACGAGTTGAAATACACGAGGTCACTTCATGTGTATGGACGGATACATGTATTTGCATATCTTTTAACATGCGTGTGTGCCTTTTGGTGTTGGACACATTCCATTAAAACGCTGGGTTTGACTCACTTAGACAAAGGAACCAATGCTTAGGAATAGGGGTGCACCGAATGGGAAATTCTTGGCCGAAACCGATACCGAAAATAGGAAACAGTTGGCCGAAAACCGAATGCCGAAAACCGAATAGCCGAAAGGCCGAAAATGATTAATAGAAATATATATAATGTATACATTTTTTTACCAATGTTGTTCAGCTACCTTATGGAAAAAGACATGATTATGGCAACCTATAAGTGCATGCTTACAAATGTGCAAACTGGATAAATCCACATGAATGTAACTATTTACAAATGAAATTACAATTGAATTTCAAGAATCTGTAAATAAGGCTGTCTGTCCTCATAAGCAAAGTAGTAAACATTGTATAAAGATACATAAAGTGAAAACTGGATACAAAATCCACAATCAATTACAAATTAAATTACAATTTCAAGAATCTGCAAATAAGGTGGTCTGTCCTCATGAGCAATGTAAACAANCTTCTTCTTCTGCTTTGGGTTTACTGGCAGGCCGCAAACAACTTCACGGCGTATACTGCCGCCCAAAATCCCCGGCCGGAAGTCCCCGGAGTTAAGCATGTAAGGAGTTAGGGACGAGTAAACGGCCAGAACGCCGACACCTCCTCATCTCCACCGCTCCCATGTTTTATTTTGTGTTGTCATAAGTTAGTCTCTCTGCGTTTCTGCGCTGGGCTAATGCTAATAATGCAATGCGAGGATAATAAAATGGCGGCTTCACAAAAGTCTTTGGGAGTTTGACGGGGCGTGGTTTGCATTCCGCCCTGCCAATCAGACACGGGAACCTTTTTCTCCCACGAAAGTCCCTGCTCTCTAGCAGGGACTGAAAAGGGGGTAAAAAAGGTTCTCTAGAACTAATTTAGTTCCTGGGACTTTTTGGTGTGAACGCAACTAAATCGTAGTTCTCAGGAACCTCTGTGGGAAAAGTACTTGGTGTGAACGCGCCTCTTGAGTAGTTTGGGTTAGAAACCTTTAGTTTTCAGGGTTTTTGTCTCAAATGTTAGATGTGTTATTAATGCGTCTGGGCCCCTTTTCTCAAGCTGAAGATTGTTTGTCAGTGTGACACACTTCATATATCTCCATCAATGTCTTATAATGGTTGTTAAATAAAATGACTTAAATTGTAACAATGCGGTAGAATTACATCAGAAGCGCCTCAGCTTCAGGTAAGCCCTCTTCACTGCTGAGATGAACCCCAGGAGTAGCCACATCCAAACAGAAATGACATTGTTTGTGTTTTTTGTATCCAGGCAAGTTCAGTAAACAAGGAATGTTGGCTTGACGCAACAAGATTGACCAACATGACTGACGTTATGGATGAG